AGCCAACTCTCCAAATGTAGGAGTCGAGCTCTGTTTTGAATTACTCCCTCCGCGATTGAAGTTATTTTTAATTCAGTGACTTAATCGCGCCGATGTTTTCCAAATGTATCACATGATGTCAAGATACCATTCCCCCCGAGGAGTTTAGTTCAAGTACAGCAGTCCCTTGCGAAAGCTCGCTGCACTTTTTTGCGGCTTCGCTCTTCGTGGTTTTTTTTTTTTTTGGTCAACAGATACACATCGTTGGACTTTTCACTGTATTGTGGGGATTTTTATGGTGATTTATTTCTCCACGCGGACCGTTACTTCAGTAAATAAGCGTGAGCCAGGAGGAACGAGTGCCAAATAGAAAGAGGATGGGATTATCCCACGCTTAATTAAAAGAAGCTAAAGTGCGATGTGCCTTTCGCAAAGCACAACTGCCTTAAAGTTACTCAAGTGCACGTCAACGGTAAAGTAAATGTCAGAAACCCGACCACCAGTAGACGGTTCCGGGCGATACAAAACACACGAGACAGGCGCGACGTGTTTCTGTCGGTCGTCAGCAAAAACGGGCAACCGTCAATATTTGACCTGGTTAGCGACGATTACACTGGCATGACGAAAGCCGTCAGCGCTTCGTCTCTTCTACTTCTCAATTTCAACAATCTCCGTCACCTTTTCACTTTTTGTGGTAGATCTATCGTGACAAGCACGTTGATCGATCACAAGCTTTAACGCTTCTGTCCGGCCGTTCCCGTAATAAAACGTGGTTGACGTCAGTTTCCGTCGCTGGCGTTCCACGTTAGGATTTCACTTGCCGAGTTCTGACGTCAACGGCGCTCAAGAGTTAAAGTCATTATTGAAAAGTGACTTTCTCGCTTGACTTCTGTGTTGGGTTCAGTCGCCGCAGAGTAACTGAATGAGACAGCCAATCTTTGACCCGTGATTGGCTGCCAACCAGCGTGGTGTGTAGTTTGCCCAACGCTAGCCTTATTGGGCTGCAGCTCGCCTGCACCACAATCAAAAATGTCTCAGTTGGAATCTCGGCTCCTACTTGCATTGGCTTGCAAATGTCGAGCATGAACGGTGGTATGTTCTCCTTTACCAGTTGCCGACCACTCTGCGGTGCACCTTCGCTTCTCTCGTCAAAATTCTGATTGGATAGGCTCCATCTTACCTGCGGCCCTGAACAAGTGAAGTGGTCGAAAATGGATCAATGCTTGGGTGGCTCTTTTGTGAAAATAATGCAACCGCCAACCTTGAACGTTTTTCAATTCAGAATGGTGTTTTGCGGCTGAATTCGCCCTTACGTTTTACTGTATTTGTCACCTTCATTGAAATAGACGCCATGTTGCAATTCATCGAAAACAAATGCCCGTGCAGGGCCAGTAAGGTGAGCAAGATCTTTAATTCGAGATGGCCATTGGCATCTGGTTACATCACGTTAGAGAGTGTTGTGAGCTTCCACTTTCTTTCAGGGACCTTCAGATAGAATAACATAATAAACAAAACTGAATAGTGCTGTTCGGATTTTCCAATTCAACTCAAGTGAAATGGGTAGTTTAATACAAATACAAAAGGACCGAAGCTAACGAGACAAAATTGCTAGGCCTCCCCCCACCAAACATGCACAACAAGCACAGGTAGAACACAATAAAGTAAACATTTTATCATCCCATTTTTATGAAAGAAGGATATTTCCTCTTGGGGGTAGCTCAAGCTTCGAGAGTTTCAATTGGTTTCCTTGGTAACCGTTTATTTATTTATTTATTTTTTTATGTCGCCAAAGGAAAATGGCATTGAGGCGGCCTTCGCTCATCATCCTTGCCCGGAATGGACGCTCCCATGGGACAGCTTACCAGACGCCATGAACCCCACGGAAGGTACTCAAAAGTCGAAGCGCTTAACTCCCAACACCTGTGTCAAAAAATAAAAACACAATGGGATTATTTGTAGATCCATTAAAATCTATATTCAGTTGAATGAATTGCAAAGACAAGATATTTATTGGTCAAACTGAATTTTTTTTTTTTTTTTGGCTACTATTCACTCATTTTGAAGTTGATGCTTGCAACAGTTTCCACAAAAACATGTTTAACACTGTGTTACATCACCTTTCCTTTTCAACGACACTCTGTAAGCTTTTCGGAACTAAGGACACTAATTGTTGAAACTTTGTAGGTGGAATTCTTTCCCATTCTTGCTCGATGTACACCTTCAGTTCCTCAACAGTCCGGAGGCCGTAATTTAGACTTTATAATGCACCGCACATTTCAATTGGGAGACGGGTCTGGACTGCTGGCAGGCAAGTGTAAATGTTTGGCTTGATAAAAATTAGGTTCATTCCAATAGGGAACATGTTTTCAGGATACCAGTAACTTGAGTTAGGAGCTTGGTCACGGAACAAATTCAACTCCTAAGTCGAGGGACAACACCACACATCATGCTCAGTATGCAGTGACCATGTCATGCCACGTCTCCACCCACTGCGTGCTTCCTACAACTGAACAGAAAATACAACCTGGTGTATAAAATCAGGTTTTGCCATCAAAACCTGCAACACGCTGCTTCGCCGTGTTTTTTTTTTCTTCAGCCACTTCTTGCCTATTAATCCCTTTCAATAATAGCAGCCCTGTTAACATCTCCCTGTGCAGCCTTAGAGTTTTTAGCATCACGTAATTAAACTGGAGACAAAAGGGAGCCAATTTGCCCTGAACCCCGGTGCGCGGGTTTTCTGTTCCAGATGCTCCTATAGCTGTACCTAAGCGGCCACACACACGCGCAGCACAATTGCAGCATCATTTCCTCTATTTACACCTGAACAACCAATCTAGCACAAAAGCGGGTCCTTGAAGCAGTTTCATTCGTTTCTTTCTTTCATGAGGGCAGTCAAATGTATGAATATATTCTCGTCCGTGGTGCCAGATCACAAACAATAAGGTTGGAGGAGAAAGTGCTGACTTACCACTTTCATTTGAGTGTTTACATCGGCAATCGATGTGGTTTATAGCCCCCCCCCCCCCCCACCAAAAAAGCCTA